ACTGCAGCCGGCCCATGCGTATCAGCAGGCCCTGCACATGAGAGCCAGGTCCCAGCTACACAGCTTGCTTTGTCCCACAGAGGTTTCCCCTCTGAGCAAGTCACCAAGGCAAGCAGAGTAGAGGAGCTTCATTCTACAAAAACCACACAAGTTATTTATTCTCGAGCCTGTTGGGAGAGATGATGAGAACAAGTGCAACGCTTGCTTGTGAAGCTGAAGGCAGCAGTCAGAGAACACAACCTCTAAATACAAAGCCCAAGCACCCTGGCCAACAATTTCTATCATTTCAGTCAGATGCAAACCAAGTGACATACTACTGTAGAGAGGAGGGAAGGGCATTTTAGTAATTGTCAAAACCTTTAAAACAATAATCTGAAGGAAAAGTGAAATCCAACAGCACAAATCAGTCCTACTTCACCTTCCTCTTTCAAAAAGCATTTGAGACAGCAGGGGTTGAAAAAGTGGTGCCAGTGAAGCATGTCTATCTTTACGGGTGGCTTCCAGTGCCTACAGCAACCCATAATTCTTTACCTGCCTATCACAAGCATATTGTAGAAAAGTTTTTGTCTGACTGGAACATAATGTCCAGCAGGTATAAGAAAAGAATCAGACAAAAAGCTACTTGCAAAGAGTTAAGAAAAATCAAGGGAAGTCACAAGAGTACAGAAGTAGGGAGGGGGGCTTAAGGAACAGAGAAGAGAGAACATCCCCTAAAAGGATTATGTAACAAGGTGTCTCTCTTCATTGAGCTGTTTAAGTCAAGGACAGAAGGGGACAGAGTAAAGAAAGAGACACTTCTCTCCTGCACAGAATTACAAATGTATTTGAAGAAAATGATCTGTGAGATGATACATATAAAGAATATATTGCTCTGCCATGACTGGTGATGGTAGAGTTATGTTGCATATTTAGGCATGCATCCAGAAAAACGTGACTGCCAATTCACAGTTATGAATCACGAATTTCAAGAGCAGAATAAGAGGTTACAGTGTGCTGAACAGAACCAACCAGCAGTAATTAATAAAGAGACCATTAAAACACAGCTAACTTCCATGATGTCAATTCAAAGGTTTAAAGTGTGGCAAGACAGGGGAAAAATTAAGGAGACAGGCATACCAAGAAAGGACCATATAAATTCCATACATGTCTGCACCGATTTATTGTCTTCAATTGACAACAGACACAGAACTGCACTCTTTCAAGCTAGAAAAGACAACTGCAGTTGTGGAAACACAGCTACAGCAGCAAGAGAAGTGATTTAATAAGAAAGTGGTTTTATCAAACTAAACAGCAATACCAAGTTAGTGAGAATTACAGAATCAGGGCCAGAATTCAGATATAGGATATGTTAAAAAATGAATTATTCCTCTCCATAGCTTCCTAAAACCACACAAGTAACCATGACTGCCTCTCTTAGCTTTCAACAAGTCTTTTAAAGATTCACTAGAGATTTTCAAATGGTTAAAAAGTCATCTCCGCCTGGGGAGAATTATTTTCTTTCCAGTACTTATAAGCTAAAGCACAGATTTCAAAACATATTCAGCTCCATGGAACTATTTGTTTGCACATATGTTCCCCTGCTTTTCCCTCAATTCTTTTTCTAAAGCAGTTATCCATACCTTATCAGTTTCTCCTAACAGGGACCATCTTGGCTTTTCAACTTGAAGTAGTGTCTTCTGTGTTTAACCCCGTTGTTCAGAGGACTAGACCCAGGACATTACGGGGAAAGAAAACCAAATAGGTAGCAGGGACTCACCTGGTTACAGAGATGACACTGTAGACTCTCTGAAGTTCTAGCTCTCATAATTCTGTTTTGTGAGAAATCAGCAAGAAACTCTTTTCCTTCTCTCGTCCTGTGCATTTTTGCAGCCTTCTGACTCCAGCTATACGAAGTGGACCAAATCAGTAAGAAAACTTCTCCAAGGCACTCCAAAAGTCTTCACAAGAGTATCAGACAAGCAGTTACCTCCTCCAAGGTAACTTCTGTCCTACCTCCTGTTTTTCTGGCTATTATTCTGCTGTGGTTTAACCCCAACTGGCAATTAAGCACCACACAGCTGCTTGCTCACCCTCCCCTGCAGGGATGGGGCAGAAAACTGGAAGAGTAAAAGCGAAAAAACTTGTGGGTTGAGATAAAGACAGTTCAACAGGTAAAGCAAATGCCACGCACACACAGCAGATCAAAAAAAGGAATTCATTCACTACTTCCCATTGACAGGCAGTTCTTCAGCCATCTCCAGGAAAGCAGGGCTCCATCACATGTAATGAGAACTTGGGAAGACAAACGCCATCGCTCCCAGCGCACACACCTCCTTCCTTCTTCTTCCCCCAGTTTTATACACTGAGCATGATGCTGTACAATCTAGGATACCCCTTTGGCCAGTTGGGGTCAGCTGTCCTGGCTGTGTTCCCTCCCAACTTCTTGTGCACCCCCAGTCTACTCACTGGTGGGGTGGGGTGAGGGGCAGAAAAGGCCTTGACTCTGTGTAAGCACTGCTCAGCAGTAACAAAAACATCCCTGTGTTATCGATGCTGTTTCCAGCACACATACAAAACATAGCTCCATACCAGCTACTGTGAAGAAAATTAACTACCCCAGACATAACCAGCACACAGTCAGCTGATCTAACACTGTGCAGCTCTGCCACATGAAGGCACACTTTGACCTTACATCTAATGCCTCCTCACCACAAACAAAAAGCTGGTTAACAGATAAAGAAATTGGAATGAACACTTCAACAGTATCAACAGCACAGAAAAATTCAGAACTGAAGGAACTTACAAAGACTGAGAAGTATTATCAGAAGTACTACCACAGAAAGTTGCTGACACACTGCAGAGCTAGTATTTTCTAATTTTAATCCCTGTTTAGGAAAACCAGAGAGGCATTACAGCCTAAAACACAGAAGACTAGCATTCAAAAGCAGTCACAACATAAAACTGTCTTTTCTTACTCCAGACTATTTCAAACCTGCACAGAATCATCCAAATATGAAACCATCCAAATAGAAATGCTCTTAAGACTTGCATGATGGATTGTTACAGCACTGATTAAAAAAAAAGTCACTACCTCAGTGCTGCATTCCAGCAAAAGAAAGGAGAGCAGCTGGGAACAGCTGGAATTTAATGTAGCAGGGGCTGAAAATGATAAAAACAGAGACAGTGACTGAACAGCAAAGCGCATTTTTTCTCTTTTTGGTCATATTTAAATTTTACTTTTGTGTAAGACTTACATTTTTACTATGACTGCTATTTCATGAAAAACATGTGTTAAACTGAATTAAAAAAAAAAAAAAAGATCTGTTCATGGAACTTATAAATACAAAAAAAGACATACACATACATACACACACATGTGGCTGGATACACATCCATCTGTTCCTCAGCTTTCCCTCATGCTCCTGTTAGCACTGCATGGTCCATTATAGCCAGACACAGGCGCTGGATCTCCAGTTAACCCCAGTCTCTCAAACTCCATCATCCCAGCACCTGACAGCCACTTGGCAGCTGCAAAGGGATCGTCCTTCCCTCACCTCTTCCGAGCAAAGGCACAGCAAAAGAAGCACAGAGGCTCTTTACAACAACCGTGGCATGGAGCAGTGAGAACTCACTGACTGTTCAACCTCAGCAAGATCTCCTCTCGTACAGGTATTGTACGTTGAAATCTCACAGAAATTTAACTAAGTGGCCAGAATACTTCAGTGTTACTGTAACTATTATAATCTTTCCTGGTTAACAAATCTTTCTCTAGAGTACCCATTTAGAGTACCCATTTATCTCATATTGAGTTTAGTCAGGTTACTAACCTGTACTGATCATAAGTGTCTAAGCTCAGCGTATCTTCATTTCTAGTTGTTCCGTCTCCAAGACCATCTTTATGTGGTTTGTAAAGAGTCCACTAAGAAGTGAACAAGACAAAGTTTTAATCAAATGTAAGCAGTAACAACAGGTTTTATTCAAAACTTCCAGTAAAGAGGACCCACTAGTTTTGCAATAAAGGTACTTGAAGTACTACAGCTTACATGAATATAAAAGACCAATGAGAAGAAAATAAACCAAGCAGTAAAAAAAAAAAAAAAAAAAAAATTAAAAATATATGTTTTCTTAAAAGTTTGAAATAGACCCACAGAGGGATTTTGAATTCCTCCAAACAATTAACAGTTACTAGGTTTGGCAAAACAAGATTCTTTTACAAAATTAAAAGCCTACTTCTGTTACATAAACTGTATAAAACCGCTCAATAGTCTAAGAGCGCTCTGTACAATTTTGTCTTGAAATACATAGAGCTGCAGCTCACAAACAACTGCAGGAAATAATCATTTTGTCCTCTTCATGGGTAAAGAATTAGCCAGCTGTACGATTGTTCTGGGGGAAAACGAAGAGGCAAAAATAGTCAGAATTAACAAGATGAAGCCACTATAAAAATGAAATGCACAGCAAAATTCAGACCTCAGTTTAAACTAACAAGCTATGTTTACAACATATTCTACATTTCAGTTGTCATTTTCTCTTCCCACTCCCACCTCCCCCCATTCAAATATCCCTAATTCCTTTATGGTCTAAATCTAATTAATTTCTAAACTTTCAAATACACCGTACATACATTTAGCAAAAAACATACCTAACATTCTTACAGCAGTATGGTCAGGACACAATTTCAAAGGTTATTACACAGTTACTGAGATTAAACCTTATGACTTTTCTTTTAAAGAGAACAGCAACCATCAGCTTAGACAAATGGCTTTAAAATGTACTGCAGAGAGCCTGCAAAGAGCAGGTTTCACCAACATCACCCCAGAGGACACAAGGGATAACAACGAGAAATTGAAAGAGAATCTCTGAGTGCCAGCTACAGGAAGATCCTTCTGGAGCTCGGTCCAACAGATTGTGGTTTTGGCTCGGTCGTCCCCATTGCATTAAGCCCTGCAAATCAACTTTGCAATAGCACATTACAATGTAAACTAAAATTCTTGATAGCAACAGTATGTGAAAGGGCTTTATTATTTTTTTTTCTGAATCCAACAGTTGGTCACAGAAGTCAAGTATTTTCATGGCTCTTTTTCAGCTGTTGCCAGTTCGGGGCGGGGAGAGAGGGAGAATAAAAACGTGTGTGTCTGACTCATACATCTTTCAAGTACATGCAAGGCTCAATTGTTTCCAAAATGCAGGAGCTTGGGACCTTTTAAGACACTGAAGAAATAGGATTATGAGGAGAGCCCATCTGAGTAAGTACTTTATCCAGCCACTGAAGGGGACCATGAAGATGTATCTCTATCCAGCATGGAGTGCTTGTTACATCTTGGCGATGATACTCAGCTCCCCAGCCCTGCAAACAGAATCATAAGTGGGGAAAGGAAAATAATCATCTTATTTTAGAATATCAAACATGTTACAAGCAGACTTCAATTATCCTCTTTCTTACCAAAATAATCTAGCTTTTAACAGTCATTATCAGCAGAGTAGCATAACACCCTTGAGGCACCAACTATTACCACATTTCAACAAACAAATCTGAAGGGTTGGGGTTTTTTTTAAATAATTAAATTTGGAGGAAGTGTCATTTTGAGATCTTTTGATCTCATGGAATGGAAGTCTTAAATTCTTAAAGGCATAATCTGTGGCAGTGAAAAATTTCCCCATATCTCACTGCCAGCTGTATGATGTCCCACTAAAGCCTCTGAAAAGGAGGATAATGAAGTCTTCTCTGCCAAGACCAAAACCAGAACAAACTGGGGGGAAATGCTGCCAAACAGATCAATAAATTAAAAAATGAGGTCATAAACTGACATTATGGAAGTGGGGGTGAGGCATCTGTCTGACAAGAACCAAAGCATCATTCACAGGATGGACATGATAAACAAAGAGATAAATAAAAAACATTCCTCTTTGGAGAAAGAGGGTATGGTCATTCCCCAGTAGGCTGTTTCTCAAATTAAGACAAAATAGGTCTTGTTTCAGCTCACACCTGATTCATTTATAGTAATTACCAAAGATATAAGCAGATACTTAAACAGCATTCAAAATCATTTTTTAAGTGAACCATTTTGGGGTAGGTCTGGAGACAAGACTAAAACACCCACAAGTACACTTTACTCTGCTCTGTATTAACCCCTAATGAAGGAATTGCCCAACTCCAACACAGGTGGCAGCGGCTCTAAACTGTGCAGCACGACAACCAATACACACAAAGTCCTATGCAACTGTTCAGGCAACACTGCCACACAACTCTATAGGATGCAGAGCTATAAACAACTCATTCTGGTTTAGGAAACCCTGTCCTCACAGATCTGAAAATTTCTATCCTCCTGTCAAGAAGAGTATTTCAGCACATTACCATCTTCATTTGACTACTTTCACGTATGTGACCAGCCCCTTTATATCAGTGCCTGTGCTGACACAACCACATCACTAATCTTGACCTTGCATGCCCCCCTGGAATAAAAAGTTACGTATATTTTGGGAGTTGAAAGTTAGATACATATTTGGGAACTGCTGGTCAAGACTGATTTAGAGGGCTATGCTATCTACACTTCCACAACCACTGTAATGACCTACAATGCAGTCCCAGCTCAAGTCTCCAAAAATAGTACCCAGGAACAGGAGCATGAAGTCCACCTGGGCCTCTTACAGAGCAGGAGATGGCATGGACAGTAACAATGGACAATAAAAGGGACAAAAGCTGATGCTACGTAACGAATTGGTGTCTTTTCCACTTTCAGGCCACGTAATTAATGACTCAATTCTTTTCGAAACTTACTTATACTGTATCTTGCCATATGCCACAAAATTAAAAAGACAAGCCCCATAATTCCAGAGTAATTATGCAACTAATTCTATATACACACAATCTATGCACATACTAAATGCTAGAATTCAACTGAAACACTAAAAATTTACAAGAGGCAATTCAGTGAAATTAGAATAGTTAAAAGACATGACAGAAATGCTTCACAAGTGACCACAGACTTACGTGAAGAAACACCTTCTGTAAGTCACCTCAAGCTTTCGAAGTATCTGCCTCAGACAAATTTTTGTCAACGAAGGCAACTTTGTTTCATGACAATCTGTATGGTCTTACACTTAAAAACTATTCTGTACCTAAGACACAGGAACTACTAACAGGTCAATTGAGAGAGACACTGGACCATTCAAAATCATGTGATTAAGAAGAAACAATTTGTTTTGCTTACAAATTAATCTCAAGCAAATTTTCACATACCTTTACAAAACTCATACGGAGAGTGCACATCTTTGTAAGCTCATACACTGTCTCAAAGCCATGGTTTACCGACTGAGCCAAAAGCTGAGCAAACTCTTGGTTGTTGAAAATCTTCAAACTGCAGCCACTGGGGATTTTGCAGACAGTTGTGGGATGGAACCCATGATGGTAGTTGCAGTTCCGACTTTGCACAAAAATACTGCTGTCGCTAAGACATTCAGCATACACTTCCCCACCAACATAATAGAGATGAACACCTGAGAGAAGAAGGTTGACATAAGGAGGTTAGAAAAATTCACACTGTGTATCTACTTTTAATGCTCTGCCTCAACAGAGGTATGTTTCTGCTTAGAGATAAACATTAATTGCATATCAGAGCATAGAATCATAGAATGGGTTGGGTTGGAAGGGACCTTAAAGATCATCAGGTTCCAACCCCCCTGCCATGGGCATCATCTGTCTTTAAACTTCATTTTTACTTTTGTTTGATCAGCAGGCAACTGGAAAGGAGGTGTGTAGGTATGTATATGTAAGGGGAATCGGCAATTCCTGCATTTTAGCACGTTGTATATTCAACAACAATAAACTAGCAAGCACTGCAGTAGTTTTGATGTAGTACATTGGATGGCTTGACCACTTGAACTTTTTCTCATTATATTTATATAAAACAGTAATTGGGAATGCAAGTGGAGAGAGCAGAAACCTACTGCATAATTTGTAGATAACAAACCAGCCCTGAGCTGGATTCTCTCTGGAAATGTCCTGAATGCTATTTTGGGTAGCATGAGTTTTTTCAGCCTGGTTTAATTCTAGAAAGCTGGTAAAAAAGAATGGCCCTTACATTCCTCAGATTTAGCTGTCAAATGGGGGTAAACACAAATCTTAATAGTCCTTTCCCCTTCTACTGCCTGCTCCCTCACCTGTCACTGATGGCAGCAAGCCCCAGAAGAGTAACATACAGGGAACCTTCATGGAGATTTGCTGTCAGTAGGACTCAATTCCAAAGGCTTTGAGAAAACAAGAAAATTCACCTTTCATGTTTAAAAATGGACTATTTGCTGGTGAGATCTTTCACCTCCCACAATGACAAGAGTCAGAGAAGTGAACACATAGAAGAATTTAAAAACTAAACCAAAGTCCAGTCAGAAGCCTTGACTGCGCTCCATCATGTAAGATTTTGCCGCTTACTATGCAGGTACCTGTGTGAGTACATATATACTTCCACCTGATCTGCAAAAACATTTATGGCTATGTCTTCAAGTTTGGGATTTACTCCTCCTTCCTCGAAGACTAACAGTTCTACATGATCATTAGCTGCACACATTTACTTATTCAAGTGTGTCTCTTCCACACTCTGCTTCAGTATACAGGCAGTAAAGTGCTTCAGCAGAACTCTGCCTGCAGCTGGGTTATTTTTAACAGAAAAATGAGGTGTTAAATAAATATCCTGATACTTGCTAAGATGGATGGGGAGGAAAAGAAGAAAAAAGTATTAGGACTTTAGTAGCACAGCACAGGTGTGGTATACTGCGTGAGAGCTGCACAAGTCCTCATGTACAGAAAAGCTCTCCAGAGCTCAAACTTGAAGACCCAACAGTTCTCTGCAGTTTCAATTCTTTCCTCCTCTAAGGAGGAGGAAGATACTTCATTAATTGGCACTTAGAACAATACACCCCACTGCCTGGGGCATGCTGAACCATACACCCCACTGCCTGGGGCATGCTGAACAATACACCCCACTGCCTGGGGCATGCTGAACCTTCAACTGTCTCACAAAATTTAGAGCTTACTACTAATGTAAATACCTAAAAAAATGCCTGGCAGGAATAAAAAAAGGAATGCTCCATTGCAGAAAGCAATGTCAAGCTTTGCCTGTCATTTGCACGGCAAGTTCTAATAAAACTGTATTAACCCAGAAACTTTTCTTATTCATGGGACACTGTCACAGCCATAGAAGGGAACCACAAAATTCCCACTAAAAGAATCACCATCCTGAGAAAAATGCATTTGGAAAAACTGTTTTATCAGGTTGTCTCTCTAAATACATGTTAAGATAGTTAATTTATGTTGGAACTAAGGGTAGCTAAAGATCTCATGCCAAGAACTAGAACGTGGATTTCCAATATACACCAATAATCAAGATAAATCAAGACATTTAATTAGACAAACTTCCTTAAGCTCTCATTCTAATTAAGACCATAAGCCATCTGGCAATTAAAAATTGATTAAGGGTAAAAGGTTCCTGTAATTACACACCAAGTAAGAACAATACTTTTCTTGTAAGACCTGGCCAGAAAATGATATATTTACCAACAAAAGCACTTATCCCATGTACTTGGTAAGACCAGCTTCATCTTGAGACAACTGGCCTAGGCTGTCATGTCTAGGGGAAATGCCTACCCTCTCCCAAACCCAAAAACAGATGGAAAGATCCAAACCTTACCTTTGCCAATATGTCGCCTTGTATTCTCAATGGTGGAGTTGCGGTTAACATTCGAGAGCAGCCCCAGGCAAAATCTGTTCTTGTTGTTGGAAGGATCAGTGAAGCCATCCACCAGGACACTGGTGGAAGAAGCATGGAACGCCTCCCCAACACGATTATTCAGCTCATAGTAGACAATGGAGCACCAATGCTTCGGCTCTTCGTAAGCAACTGCCTGAACATCTGTAAATCAACAATGGAAAACATTACAATCTAATGGTACTGGAATATAGGCTCAGGATATAAAGATTCATAAAGCTTCAGATTTTGGCTGCACATTACTGAAAGATGAGCTGGATAAGCAACTGCAGCTAAATGAAGTCTTTTCTATCATCAATTATATTTGAACTTTTCATAGAGACATACAACAGAACAGATTCACCCTAACTTGACTTGCACAAGACTCACAGAAGACAAAGGTTGGCACTAAGTATCAACAGAAAAGCTCCTGGGCACACACGAAGCAGTGCCCCACTATCCCTGCCCAGTTTTCTACATCACGTTATGGTGTGGGCCCAGACAGCAGGAAATGCTGTGATTATATAGCTCAGCTTCCTTTCTAATCTAGTAAATGAGTTTCTACTTCATTTTACTCAGCTACCAAATTACCATCTCTGTGCTTACTGCAAAGTTGTATAGGGACAGGGAGAAACAACATCACACCACTGCACAAGAGACCATTTACAACTTTGGGTACCAAGAAGCATAGCAAGGTAGCTTAAATACATATAGTTGGCAGGTGAATCTTTCAGCATTCAGGGTGTGCATGAATCTTTCTCCTGAGCTGCTCAGAGGAAGGGCAGGAGACTTCAAAAACTAAGAGAGAGAGACATTTGTCTGCAGAATATGCATGAAGCACATCTTCAGTATGAATAGATACTGCTTGGGATTGAAGGTGGAACAAGGGTGTAATGGGCAGAATCCTAACAATTACGCTGGGCTGAAGAGCTGATGAAACAGAGGAAGACATTATTTGATAAGAACCTTTTATTCATCAAGTGCTACCAAACAAAAAATCTGCAACTGTTCATCACCAAAAGAATTACTTGTTGAGCAATAGCAAGGATTTCCTGGAACATGGTTTTCCAGACTGAAAACAAGCAGCTCCTCACTGAAGCTGGGAATTCTGCAGAAGGCTGACAGGAAATTCCTGGTTCACAACTTCCACCCATCAAGCTCTAGAAACACATTAAGTCTTGAGGTAACACTAGTGACTGTGGACAGGGAACAATTTCTCCAGATGATACCAAAGGTCTTTACCAAAGAGTTTCTTTCCCTGTGGGTGTGCAACACAGCATAGGTTTCTTCAGGTATCTCCACCCAGTGCACATTCTTTCAAGTGACAAATAACAGCTACAAATTATTAAACTGCCTCCAAATAAAAGGAGGCTAGTGAAGGGATGTGGCTGCTTTATGTGGTTTCCTTTAAATGAAGAGACTATTTCACTGCTAAGCCTAGCACAGTTGGACTTGCTGCTAAAGATACTTTGCAGATTGAAGTTCCAAATAGCGGCTGAAGTGCTAAAATGAAAACCAGATTAGTATTAAGGAAAACTTGTTTCTCTGGCCAGAGATTTTCTTCTCCCAGCCCCAAATCTTTACTGAAATCAGCGAACTAAGACCAGTGGTCATATTTTCCTCTATTCACAGATCACACCACTATGAGTTTTCTGACACATGCAAAACAAAAACGAAAAGGTCCCCCCCCAACCCAGCAGATACAAAGGTGGCAAATAATCAAGAGCAGAATCACACATCCTTCATCACTGTGCCAAACTTCTGGGCATAGTGTCTACTGCTGACCAATAACTTCCTTAAAACCCTGGCAGAAATGAGCTGATCTTTCCTGATACCCTTGCATTGTCTATAATTTCATGTCACTGTAAAAAAAAAAAAAAACACCATAAAAAACCCCCACCAGTAATTAATTATTAGTAAGATGTTACTACCCTTCTAATTCCCATGAAAATGCCAGCAATTATCAAAGCTGCAGCTCTGCCCCAGTCCTCAAAGTCAGGAAGAAATCCTGCCAGCTGGCCATTCTTACAAAATTAATCATATCTCTCTCACGCAGATTTCATACTAACTTCCTTACATTTGCTTTAAGTCATGCAGAGCAGGTGCATTCAGTCTCTCTATTCCCAGCATGGGCCAGCAATGGAAATCACCCAACTTCACTGACAGGATGCAGCTTGTTAAACCAAATCTCCTAAGACTAACAAATCACCATGAAGACCATGCTTCTAGAAAGTCTGCAACCAACATGGTGCAGTAAGTTCACAGTAAAAAAATCTTCTTGTACAGCCCACAGCAGATTTTTTTAAGTATCATAAATATATGAATAATAAACACATGAAGGCACACAGGCATAAGGGCTGGTCAGTTTGTTTGTTTAAATGGACAGAGATGAAAATCCATTTACTTAACTACTAGGAGGGAAAAATACTAATAGACACAGGTTTTGTTTTTAGATGGTGGAATGTTAAAAAGTAAATGAAAGAAAAATGCAAACTCTTTTCTTTTTATCAACTCTCATGTAATAGAGGAATTCTACAGTACTGAGTACTTTGTTTAAGGGACAAACATGCAAAAGACTGCAGTTAGGCACAGATGTTGATATATGTACTTCAAGCCAGCAAGGACTATACATACACACAGAGTGTATGGGGCCAGGGAAAAGTGGAAATGCTGCAAATGGGGTTTATCACATGCAAAACTCACTCCATGCAAAGAGTAAAAAGGCCGATACAGAAGCTATCCAAATTGTTCTAAGAGGGCAAATACACTTCCTGAAACCAGACACTAATCTTAGCAACAAAACAAGTTAGAAGAAAAAAAAAAAAAAAAAGAAGAAAAACAAAGAAAAAATCAAACAACAATTAAATTTTTCATACGCTTGTGATCTTGATAATCATTCTGGCACAGCATCCAGCTTGCTGCTCTTACTTGGCACAGGCCACAATTGTGTGAAGCTTACATGTTCTCTAAAGGGTCTATTTCTCACAATGTGATGAATGCACTAAATCCTTTAGTCAGCAGTCATGGTTGGTTGCAAGGGCTTTAAAAAGCAATGTGTAAAAAGATGTCTGTGTCATACTATATAAAGCAACAGGGGGTTTTTTTAATACAGATTTTAAAGTCTGTGGAAACGCCACACCTCAGGCCAACAGCTCTGAATTCTGAACCAAGTGCTATTGCTGCATGACTCAAAGATAGAAAAAAGTGGGAAGAGAGCATGGAACACCACAAAATAAAAAAAAAAACAACAAACCCTCCAATGACCTTATGACCAGAAGGGTAAATTATTAAAAGCACAGCATACTCTTTAAGGATCGAAGTTTGGAATTCAGGACAAAAACTTAGTAAGAAAAGGCAATTTTATGAGATTTACTGTCTCACAGATAAAAATACAGATACTCCAATTGCCCATGTAAAATGACTCTGAGAGTTTATATAACTGACAGCATTTAGCATCCATCTAATCTTTGCTTGGAGAGCTATACATGACCATATCTACTGTCATCCACAATTCAGCAGGCTTTATATAGCATTAACTGCATTACCCAAATAAATCAATGTAATCATAAGACAGAAAGAGATTCCTTTCCTTGGACAACTGTAATTTCAGCATCACACACAGAAACATGCAGCATCATAGAATTCCTTCTGTTTGGGATTAGTGGAAGTTCCAGATACAAAATGTAAAATGACTGTGGTCATTAAATTGCTTGGGAGTAAGAAAGTAATAAGCCCCATACAGTTCACATTCTTAAAGAATCATGTGATAGCTACTTGTCCTAAATGAATATTTACATTTACAAATTTTTATCTCCAGATTCAATATTTCATCCCTTACAGCAACAGAAATAATTACATGACTGGGTTTTAACAAAGATAAAAACTTCCATAACAACATACATCCAAAATTGAAACTCAGTTATTAAAAGTAAGCTCTGAAAGTTCTTTCTTTTTAAGAAGTGAAGCAGAAGACAAGAAGGAAGTGTTTTTACCTCCTCTGTGTATGTCGGGGGGAATTGCAGGTGCCATCATGTTGGTATCCATCGGCTGGGAGGTATCGTGTGTCATCTGATCTTCCGGAGGCAGGTAAGCAGGAGGCGGTGTATCAGCTAAATATAGAAAAGGCAGAGATACACGAGTTCTTCCTCTCTTTAAAGTATAGATACGTACCCACATAAACAGTTTTAGCCTGGAAATGCTTCCAGCCTGACTCAGCTATAAACTTCCACCCACCAGAAATCTGAGAAAGCAATCACAGACCTTGAATCAGGAAAGCAAAGAATTACTGTGCATATTAAGCTCAACTGAAATAAAACCAAGTTACTTCCCCCCATCAAGCCAGAAAAGAAAGCTCAGCTATGTTTCCAGCCCACAGTTTTTGCAGGTTGAAAGTGACATATAGACATTAAGGGACAAAGAGGTCACCGTACCAGGCCAGAAGTTGGTATCAAATATGGTAAATGTGAACAGAAGCTGGAGCAGAAAACTTCCAGTTTGAACTTTTCTGTTGCCAAGATGTTTCCATTAGAAAAGTATGCAAACATCCCAGATACATCCAAGGACCTTATTACTGTCATTGCAAAGTATTAGCTCTATTTCCCTATGTTGGCAACAGTAGAATATTCAGGAACCCAAATTCTACAGAAGTAGCCATCCAGGCCTGGAATTTATCTGTCAGTGCCTCTTACTGGTTGTACTGCCTCATTCAGGATTGAATCACCAGCATAAAACCAGCCCATGCACAACGACCATACTCACTAACACACTGCTTTCAGCCCTATTTGAAGCTTCCCAGCCAGGTACTCAAGCTGCCCTTCAGCTACCTATTCACTTCTAGGAAAGCTTCCCAAATGGCTTCTTAGAAGTTGCAGGAAGTTGCCAATGTCATCATTTCCCAAAACACCAGAGGACACTCTCCTCCAAATCAACTGCACAGAGGTGCACGCAAAGGGAGATTAGATTACCACTGTACTATCTCTGGCGAACACGGCTGCTGCTCACCCATGTTTACTTCCATTACTGAGAGCATTGATTGCAAACTACCACAGCAAATAATCACAAGGCCCTCCAAAACCCTGAAAATCAAATGAGTATCAATGAAAGGCAGGAGAATCACTACTTTGTAAGCACTGTTTTTTGTGGGGTGGCAGGGGCTTTGTGTGGGTTTTTTTGGTTTTCATGAAATCTATTAACTACATATTGTTTAGCAGATAATCTGTTGAGAGCTTTACATCTAATGCTGGCAGGTACCTTACTAATTCCCTTATGTGTATACCCTCAGTTGGATGACGAGCAGCAGAGAAAGATGGAGATGACAAAAAGGCTGCATTAAAAGCTTAACACTCTGCACTGGACTTTAAGTCTTGTGCTTCACTAAGCCTTACATGTTTGTGTGTGTGCAACTTATTGTTAGTGATGCACAGACAGGAAAACAAGATTGTAAGTCCACAGGCGACAAATTACCCACTATCTAGAAAGTTTTAAAGATCTCTGGATAACTGTGTTGCTCCTTTTTTCTGTATTTTCCAAAAGTCAGCCTCCTTCCCCACTAGTACAAGACTAACAACTGTCCAGAGCTAAGCATCAAAGACATCAGTATCTTGACCTCCTCTCTAATTCAATTTCTTCACTGCAGCTGCTGACTTGTGTTTATGGGCGTGTAGGCAGAACAGACCCTCAAAGATCAAGTGAACTTCCACAAGCCAGTGCTCAGGAAGACCTTCTTAGAGAAGCCTTTATCTGTGCTGGATGAGCCCCAATCACACCAATCGTATTAAAAAAGAAAGGAAGGAAAGGCAGCTGGTTTTGCGGCAACTTTTCACATTTGTTAGAAAGCCAATACAAACTCTCTTTCCTTCCCTCCTGCCTCCGCAAATTCAGTAGTCTTCACTCACAAGAGAAAAATTTTAAAGAGAAACAACTATGAGAGCAGAAATCTGAGGATGTTAACTTCATGTAATAGGATGTCGCCTTGTTTACACACACCCTCCCTCAGCCCCCAAAGAAAACATGCAAACAGAACATTGGTAAGTATTTGTATGGTGTCCTCCTAGCATTTAGATCAAGAAATCTGTCTCAGACTGCTTCTGCGGTACTGTAATCCATCCACATGCAAAGACCAAAAAACAACTGCTTCACAGAATTTTCTACAGGTATCAGCCAACAAAGAAAAATTGTTACTTCTTTGATTTTAGGAAGTAAAACAGCCTGAAGATTTCTTTTTGGGGCCTGGTTTTTAGTTGAAGTGTATTTTTTCTTGAAATTATATTAATGTGAAGAAATTTTATCAAGTAGCAATAGCATGATCCCCTTGAGAAACATCCTTCTTCAGCAGAACTAAAGCCTTGTGCTGAATTTATGGTGATCTCTTTCCTAAGCAAGGATTATCTCTAGCATTACACTTCTTGTGCATTAAACACTATGTTTTGTGGGCTAAACTGTTCAACTGGTCCCCAAAACATTCTGAATCTCTCCCCCTGTCCTAGAAGAGTTTTACTGCAATGTTTTAACTGTGTCATGATATTAAAACACTTAGTATTATTACCAGACAAAGCGATTACAAAGTCTTTATTACCTTGCATCTCTCAGCTCGCTACTGAACACAACTGCTGGCTGATAATTTGGTATTATTAAACAAAAAAATCACAATCCCAGTGATGTCCAACAACCTTCTCCCTTCCAAAGGGGAACCGAAGTTGACTGTACCTGGCATTTGGAAAGGACTTCCAGGGTCTGAGCTGGCTGGAGAATGTGGGTAGGTGCTACTGCTGCTTCCAGGCGAGTTTGGATAGCTGCTGTTGGGCGAGTGGGGGAACGGGTGATTATTGGGTTGCTGAAAAGAGTCCGGGAAAGTAGCGTTGTGCGGCATGTGGGGTTCATTTTGCCCCAGGTTGCGGAACTGGGCCAAGAGGCTGTGCTGAGGGTTGTACTCGCTGTGCCTCGGAACCAGCACTGGAGGAAGGACTGGAAAGGGAAAAAGAAGGAAATTAGACATTCAGTTCTGAAGGACTAGGTTATACAGGGGAAAAAAAAACACATTCTTCCTCCCCTAGGACATATTCACATCTGTCTTAAAAACAAGGTAGTCAAATCTAGGAGTGCATGTCTAAGCAAGAATTCTTTTCCTTATATCCGGTTACTGCACAGCTTGAATTCATAGCAATTGTGTTAGCTACCTGGTTTGCCAGATGGGAGCTTGTTTTCATACAGGGCCAGTGAAGAAGAGCCAAGAACAAACCACAGTTCTGCATTCCAGTTTTATTCGCACACCGAAATGCTGGGAAGTAAGTGCGTTACAATGCTGACATGCAGTTCGTTCAGCTGCACTTGTGATCCTGCTAATCACATAATGGCCTGTAACCCAAACCCTTGGTAATATGGACAGATATTTTTTCTGAAGACAATACTAATAGGCCTTGAACTCAAGCTGGTCCCAACAGCTGTAATTTTATTTTTAACCTGGACTATGTTCTTACAAGTTAGTATTAAAAGAGTTATTAACTCTTCAAGTCATTTTACAAAATGTACAATTTAAACAAAATTACGTAGCTCAAAAAAACCAACTGAGCAGCAATTGAACTTCAACTATATGCTACTATGGGATCAGAGAAACACACATCAGAAACTACTAGTCGCTAGTCTCACCACACTCCCAAAGCCTCCTCACCAGCAGAGAAACAAAGGAATCTTTTTAACTGGGAATATGAACATGATACAAGATACGCTAAGATAAAAGAATCAGCTTTTCTCCAGTGCCTTTTTCTATCTTAGAATGCCTCACAGCAAAGTCCAAGCTACTCACAGGATTAAAAGCTAGTCTTATTACAGACTGAGATTTTTGGGTGATGGGGGAAGAGGAGAGGCAAGTGTAGGGAGAGGGAGATTTGTGCACAGAGTAGCAGAAGTGAAATAAAAAAAGTTATTCCTCTCCACATCTGCCTCTTTTTAGCACCTTTATTTCCCAACTCTGTGCCTGAGGGGGACTGGAAGAAACCCCCTGGGATAGCCTGCCTTTAAGGGAGGGTGCCAAAAACCCACAAAATCCTGTGAAAGCAAGCCAGGCTCCTGCCCTGTCCCCAACACCTGGTGAGCACATAGAAGAGGAAAAAGAGCATGTATTCACAGCCATGCTATACAGACATAACCATCACTCAGATTAAGAAAGGTGTTTCCCAGACAGCTGCTACATCTTTCCAAAACAAACAGCAAGGATACAAGTGGATACAAAAGGATGCCACACAAATCTCACCCTTTATTCCTAAAGCAAGTCACAGATTAACAACAACAACAACAAAGGCAGGTTTCCTTTACTGTTTTCTTTTTGGCATATGCCTAAGAGAGAAATTAAGCCACCAGATTTTTGCCCGCTAGTGGCATTAATGCGTGAAGAGTTTCATCCCAGGCATCTTCATTGAACACACACTCAGAAAAACACAAAACCCAAACCAACCCCTCACTACTGAAATTAAGGCTGCCCATTAAGAGTCAGGAGTAGGTTTTAAAGATTTAATCTGATGTCTCATATCTCACTTCTTAGAGCAGCTTCACTGAGATTCCAACAGGTCTCAAATATTTGAGGAAGGTGGTCAGCCCTAAGTAGATTTGTTTAGATGTGAGATTTTTCACTAACTCCACTTTACAAGGACTATATAAAGTCTGTAATTACAGCATTTTCTGTAATTACAGCATTTTCTGAAACAAAACACATCCATCTGCCATTCTCTGGAAGCTCTCAATTGCAAAACACCCAAGGAGAAGCTGCATCTCCCTTGGCTGTGCAGACTGTCCCTTTGCCTCCAGTGTAGCCATTCATTGTTACATGTCTCTGGGAAAAAAACAAAACAAAACAAAATGAAACAAAACATTAGAACAAACCAAATGTTACTCAACATTGAGGGGGAGATCACAAATCCCCTCCTTCACAACATGGCAAACATCAAACCCAATCTCTCTGAATACTAGAATCTCGCAGAAATAAGCTCATTCTGTTAAACCTCACAGTCTTTTTGCAGTGAGGTTAAGCCCTATTTAAATGTTACAGTCAACATTTGCTGAGCTAATAAATTACCAGTGAAAAAAGTAACAATGAGATCATGTGTCGGAAAGTATTTTCTCTTTCCTGTCTTTATGATTCTTCCTTACTTTTCTAAGCATTAAAAACACACTTTCCTACCTCTTCCTTTCCTGTGGATGAAGGTCAAACTTTGCTGAAGTTAATTTGTGCAGAAAGTACATCACCTACCTTTCCCACCCCCTACCTCACATTAAACAATGACACATATGACATCACAGGAAGCCACATAATTTATAGCATTTTAAAATAGCAGACGAACAGGATACTTTCTGTATGTCTTCTGCAATTAAACTAAAGCAGTGCCAGATTTTCCCATGGTATACACACATTTTCTCCTGCTGGGCAGAACCACTGGTGACAGTTAGAAGGACTTCAAATTAGAACAAGTCCCTTCCCAGCTCTCCTTCACACTTTTTCACCTAACTTTTTCTCCAACTACCTCAAATGCCAACTTCAAAATACACTTGGAAAAAGGGGAAGCAGGGAGGGGAGGAAGAATACACCTGTATTGATATAGCAAAAACAGTCTCAAAAACATCATTGTAGAATTTACTTTGAGTGCTGTCCCTAATTTACATACTCCCTCTGTATACAATCTTAAATGAGGAGGAATAGCCCTGAAAGACCAAGTCAGGTAAGACAGAGATTACAACACTCCAGTTAGTCCAACTCCAAGACAGTCACTCACAGCCATAAACCTGATCTCCCTGCATCTCTCAGGCTTTTTTGAAGGCTAGCTGCTCCTACCGGAGTCACAGAGGAGTTAATCTGAATGCTGCTCACTCAAGAGTGAAGACATGAGCACAGACCGGGACTTTCCCAAGTATGGAAGGACGCCAGGAGTTCCAAAAAGTAATGGGGGACAGGTACCCTTCTTGCTTCCCTCACCCCCACGTAAGGCACTGAGCTTCTGGTCAGGTTGCAGACCTCAACCATATGGAATAACAAATTACTGAGGCTCAGTACAGCAGGGGAAGGCTGATCTCTGTTGCAGCTGCCAGCTCCAGGAAGAGGTATAATTGAACAGGAGAAAGCATGCAAGAGTTATTCTGTGCTAAGCCAACACACCTGTTACTATATAATAACGGAGCAGCACACATCTTTGCTGTGTTGATCTCCGCAGGGCGCTGCACTAACAGTCTGCAGATAGAATTTTTCCCTTCCTCTTTATCTTCTTCAGTGGAAGGGAACACAGATACCAAAAAAAAAAAAAAAAAAAAATAAGATTTGTTCTTAAATATAGTTGTTTCGATTCAGTAGGGATGCCTATATTTAAGAGAAACATACTATTAAATACACTGTTGGCTTAAAAAGCTACTGCAACAGATATGCAAATTCAACCTCATTAAAATGGTTAAAACCAGTTAATGGAGTAGAACCACAAGTCATCCGACACTTTGATTTCTATACTTTCTCAAACACCAGATTTAAAGGTTTTATGGGCTATACCATGGCTGAATTTTGCTCCGAGATTTTGTGTCAATGCGGACCTGGAGTTAAGAGATAATATATCACTACTAGCAGTAACGTTACTAGTAATGAAGAGGAAGATAAACCACCTGGAACATACCCACCCAGATGGGTATTGTTTCTGGAACTCTAGCTAAGAAGAAATTCTGCATCTGTCAAAACAGCCTGGGAATTGGGTAGCTTGTTTTTACCATGCAAATAACACCCAGAGTATGCCTGCACCGAACAAGTGGAGCTGTATTCAAGAAATTACAGCTACAGGGCAATTTCACCCACAGGGCTATTTCATCTAAGAGCCAAGAATGCCAAAAATATAGAAGATAGACCAAAGACAATCTGGCTGTTCAGATAAATGTTCCAACTAACCACACAAGAAAGAAGTGCTTTTATGAAAATGTAATTGTGGCCTTTGAAGAAAGCTACTGATCTTCTGCTCTTTGTATCTGTAGCACATCATGCTGTTCTTCAGAAAGCTAACAGGTGTGCTGTCCTAGAATGAAAGTTTTCTTCGGGGTTTTTTTTGTTCTGTTTTCACGTTCCAGTGATAATTTCATTAGAAAGTCTGCAATTTACTATTACAACTTTTTTTTTCTAAGTTTCTCTATTAAAACAGAACCCAAACTCCACACCTAATCCAAGCCAAAGGACCCACTGTACTTTCAAAGTAGCATACTTTCTCACAGATGGGTTATCTTGCACAAGCCCAGATGACAGCTAGTTTCCCTTGAGGGCTCATTTTTTTTCCCTCTTTGCATGTTACATTAAAATTTGGGAAGGTATGTCTCTTTCCACATCTGGAAATTGAAAGACCGAGTAATGAAATACAACAAGGGGCCATATATACAAGAAAGCAGACTTTGATCATCTTTCACTGCCGAAGTAGATTCCACTTCTTCTGTGAGCTTTACAAAATAAAAGAAAGAAAGAAAAAGATAAGCAATTACTGCTGCACTTTCTGCTCTTAAAAATCATGACAACTTGGCCAAAGTATGTTTGTAGAAGAGTTTATAAAGGCTTATTATCACAACAGGGCCCTCAGCCCTAATGAAGACCTGAGGGCACTACCATTAGACAGTACACTTTAATTTCCAAGCATCATATAGCTGTGTTTTCATATGAATTTATGCAAAGCCACTTCTGTTTTAGCAGAAAAATAGAACTGTGGGTTGGGAAGGAGGGAAATCCTCATATGCCAGTTTGTGCTACCTGGAAATGGGTATGAAAACATGGGCAGGGGAGGAATATGAGGCTCGTACTACACGCTCCAGATAGAAAATACTGCAAAAATGAAGTAAGAAAAATTAAGTATTAGGAGGAGAAAGGGAAACAAATCAAAACACAGCACCAATGTTAACCTAATGAATTTCAACCCTCCTGAAGACTCATTGCTTAATTTCCTGGCTTTGAGGCCACAACAGCT